AGTACAAGACAAACTAGAATAAACCATACCCCGGCCGGGATTGAACCCGCGGTCATAGTCTCAAAACTCCAGCCCGTCGCGTTAGCCATTAGACCAGCTAGCCACAATAAGATTCGTCCAACTAGGTATATTTCTACACCATAGGAAGGTTAGCACAGGCACCACTGTGACCACAAATGCAAGTTTTTACAGACGAATCTCCAGCTAGCGTGGCCGTGACGAACTCTTGCATTTGTGGTCACAGTGGTGCCTGTGCTAACCTTCCTATGGTGTAGAAATATACCTAGTTGGACGAATCTTATTGTGGCTAGCTGGTCCAGTGGCTAACGCCACGGGCTGGAGTTTTGAGACTCTATGACCGCGGGTTCAATGCCGGCCGGGGTATGGTTTGTTTGCAATCGTGTCATTACGATTTCGTGAGTCATGTTGACGGCAGTGAAGGGACTTGAGCTAGAGTTCGTCACGGCCACGCTAGCTGGAGATTCGTCTGTAAAAACTTGCATTTGTGGTCACAGTGGTGCCTGTGCTAACCTTCCTATGGTGTAGAAATATACCTAGTTGGACGAATCTTATTGTGGCTAGCTGGTCTAGTGGCTAACGCGACGGGCTGGAGTTTTGAGACTCTATGACCGCGGGTTCAATGCCGGTCGGAGTATGGTTTGTTTGCAATCGTGTCATTACGATTTCGTGAGTCACAAACTAGAATCATTCATAAATAACAAAAAAAAAAAAAAGGCACAATACCGTGACTGGAACGATACACAAATAACCCGGGTTATTATAAGGACGATAACAGTGTTACTATTCCTTCTGCAAGGAAAATCATAAGCTGGATAACTAGAACGTTCAGAAGAAAAGATGGTAAGCCATTGAGGAATCTCTTCAAGTTGTTTGTTCTCTCCGGGATGGATGGAATACTACTGCATACTAGCGGCACCCTTCACTGCAGGCAAAATTGTAACTGGAGAACGGATGGAGAACTTTCACTGCCTGTATAAATTCCATCGAACATATGAATTACTTAAAACACTTGAAGTCCATCGAATTGTACTCCTCATAACATAGGCGAGAAAGATAGATCATTATTTACATCTGAAAGATCTTGGAGGGAGTGGATCCAGGCCTGCACACTGATATCGCTCCTTATGAAAGCAAGAGACTTGGTAAACGTTGAAAAAATACCACCAATGAACAGCAAGGGCTCAATGAGTAAGGTAAGGGAGAACTTAATTAGTGTAAAGGGACCTCGATTTCTCAACACTCTTCTTTCATGTATAAGGGGAATTACCAACAAATCTCTGGCTGTCTTTAAGAGAGAACTTTATTAGTTTCTCAAGTCAGCTCCTGATCAGCCGGGCTGTAGTGCATATACTGGACTGAGTGCGACTGGCACTAGCAGCCTTATCGATGACGTCAGCAACCAGGAGGCCTGGTCTGAGACCAAGCAGCTGGAGCGGTGACCACGGAAGACGAACCAAGTTAAATGCAAGGTAAGCAGCACTATGGGTTTTGGCACAGATTTCACAGTGTTGCTCACTATGCAAAAATAGTGAGTGATCCACCATCGTCATCTCGTCACTACTGCTGCCGTCTCCATATTTGCTTTCCTCTGTATTTGACTGAAGAAGATACCCAACTCTTGCACATGTGTCTTACTCGTCTACCTCTCAGTACTGTATACCATTTTCATAATTAAACTTAGCATAACCCAAGAAAGACACCCAATGTGTCTTATTTTCTTTAAGGAGGCAACCCACAACAGTCAACTGTTAGATGCCGAGGGACAGCAGGTGAACCTGGGATCCTTGGCCTGAGCCAAGCTGCCTGGATCTACATGCCAGTTTTTTCAATAAATGAGTAAATAATTTAACATTTTATATTTTTCATTCCTTAGGGAAGTGCACTGCTTTTTGCCTTGGGAACCTGCAACTTATGACAATACTCCCAAATTGGTGGTGGTGCAAGGTTTTGACAAATACTTCAAGTTGGTGGTGGTGCAAGCTTGAAAGTACCTACGTTGGGGGTGGTGCAAAGCTTATGAAAGCTCCAACGTCTGGTGGTTTTACAAGCTTATGCAAGCCACAGCGTTTTGGTGTGGTGCAAGCTTAGACAAGTACTCCAAGTCTGGTGTTTTTACAAACTTATGACAACCACCAGCGTTGGTGGTGGTGCAAGTTATGAAAGTTTCTCCCAAAGTCTGGTGGTTTTACAAGCTTAGACAACAACCAGCTTGGTGGTGTGCAACTTAGGACAAGTACTAAAATATCTGGTGGTTTTACAAGCTTATACAAGCACACCAGCGTTGGGGTGGTGCAAGCTTATGACAAGTCACCAGCGTCTGGTGGTGGTCAAGCTTTTGACAAGCACACCAGCGTTTGTTGGTGCAGCTTTATGACAAATACACCAGCGTTGGTGTGGGCAAGCTTTTGACAAGTACACCAGGTTGGTGGTGGGCAAGCTTATGACAAAACACACCAGCGCTGGTGGTGGTGAAGCTTTGACAAGTACCCAACGTCTGGTGGTTTTTACAAGTTATGACAAAAAACACCCGCGCTGGTGGTGGTTTCAAACTTATGACAAAACACCGCGTCGGGGGGGTTTCAGTTATAACAAATCACCGCGTTGGTGGTGGTGCAAAATTTTACAGTACACCCGGGCTGGTGGTTTTACAAGTTAGACAAGCCACCCGTCTGGTGGGTTTTCAAACTTATGACAAGTACTCCAAGTTGGTGGTGGTGCAAAAATTATGACAAGTACACCAGCGTCTGGGGGTGGTGCAAGCTTATGAAGTAACCAGGGCTGGTGGTGGTGCAAGCTTATACAAGTACACCAGCGTTGGTGGTGGGGCAAGTTATGACAAGTAAAAAAGGTCTGGGGGTGGTGCAAGCTTTTGACAAGTACTCAACGTCCCGGTGGTGGTGCAAGGGTTATGACAAATACACCAGCGTTTGGTGGTGGTCAAGCTTATGACAAGACACCGCGTTGGTGGTGGTGGGAAGCTTTGACAAGTACTCCCAACGTTGGTGGTTTTACAAGCTTATGACAAACACACCAGGTTGGTGGTGGGAAAGCTTATGACAAGCACACCAGCGTCTGGTGGTGGTGCAAGCTTATGACAAGTACTCCAACGTCTGGTGGTTTTACAAGCTTATGACAAGCACACCAGCGTCTGGTGGTGGTGCAAGCTTATGACAAGTACTCCAACGTCTGGTGGTTTTACAAGCTTATGACAAGCACACCAGCGTCTAGTGGTGGTGCAAGCTTATGACAAGCACACCAGCGTCTGGTGGTGGTGCAAGCTTATGACAAGCACACCAGCGTCTGGTGGTGGTGCAAGCTTATGACAAGCACACCAGCGTCTGGTGGTGGTGCAAGCTTATGACAAGCACACCAGCGTCTGGTGGTGGTGCAAGCTTATGACAAGCACACTATCGACTAGTGATGGTGCATATAACAACTTTATTCACACCTACCGCCTTTCCTCTGGCATCACAAATTTCCCCAGCATCTCACCTCTCACTGAGCACTCATATCTCCCCTTCCTCATCCCCTTCTTCATTTCACCTACTCTTCTTCACCAATATCTCTTCGTCCTTCCCCTCAACATCTACCCCTTCATTCCACTTCCACCACTCACTAACAGTCACTTATACAATTATGTTGGAGGAACAAGACAAACCACTTCGTGTACTCAAAGAGCAGCTTCCTGCTCACTCGTAGTAGCGACGACTCTCAGCTGCAACACATTAGAGAGATCGATGTTCTTATTGAAGGTCGTGGGGAGGAGAGGATGTGGAAAAAGAGAGGTTTCTGTTTAGCAGTATAAGGGAAACCAGTTGTCTTAACTGCCCAGTGCGTAGAGCCCAGCGCTGAGATCCTACTACCTAGAGAAGGCCACTTCAATGTTAGCCGAACGTAGAAGTTTCCAATTGTGCAAAGATGGACTAGGTGGCTTTTAAATCCGGGCTGAGAATGGATGGGAGAGTGTATTTAATATTGCAAGAGAGTTGTTATCGTTTCTTTTAACGTCTCTCTGGTAAACATGAGGAAATTAAAACTTCATCAGAGTAGAAAAAAAATTCCTTCCACAAAATAGATCGGAAAACCAACGTCAAAAACCTGGGAGTGATCATGTCGGAGGATCTCACCTTCAAGGACCATAACATTGTATCAATCGCATCTTCTAGAAAAATGACAGGATGGATAATGAGAACCTTCAAAACTTGGGATGCCAAGCTCATGATGACACTCTTCAGGTCGCTTGTTCTATCTAGGCTGGAATATTGCTGCACACTAACAGCACCTTTCAAGGCAGGCGAAATTGCTGACCTAGAAAATGTACAGAGAACCTTCACGGCGCGCATAACGGAGATATAACACCTCAATTACTGGGAGCGCTTGAAGTTCCTGAACCTGTACTCCCTGGAACGCAGGCGGGAGAGATACATGATTATATACACCTGGAAAATCCTAGAGGGACTAGTACCGAACTTGCACAAGAAAATCACTCACAACGAAAGCAAAAGACTCGGCAGACGATGCAACATCCCCCCATTGAAAAGCAGGGGTGTCACTAGCACGTTAAGAGACAATACAATAAGTGTCAGGGGCCCGAGGCTGTTCAACTGCCCCCCCCAGCATACATAAGGGGGATTACCAATAGACCCCTGGCTGTCTTCAAGCAGGCACTGGACAAGCACCTAAAGTCGGTACCTGACCAGCCGGGCTGTGGCTCGTACGTTGGATTGCGTGCAGCCAGCAGTAACAGCCTGGTTGATCAGGCTCTGATCCACCAGGAGGCCTGGTCTCAGACCGGGCCGCGGGGGCGTTGACCCCCGGAACTCTCTCCAGGTAAACTCAAGGTAATCTGACAATAGCATTAACCACGTTTTCTAAGGTCTCCCTAATTTCTATAGTTACCCGTATTACATCACGTAAACTGTGTTAATTTCCACTCGTGTGTTTTCATATTGTGTCTAACGCCAGATTTATCTTGACAGAATGGTTACCCAGCACGGCGTCGCTCCCTGGTGGTGGACGCGAAGTTCGAGACGACCATCAACAAGCAACGGAAGCAGTCCTGGATAGAGGAGGCTCAGCGTCTGTCCTGCGGTGGGTCACTGTAGATAGTTGTGCTGTAGTAGTTATGCACTGGCAGTAGTTTGTTACTGTGTACAGCCTCTCTTCAGTATGTAGGTCATTAAGAAGCATATATGCACTAACATCAAGAATACTTTCTTCCTTACAATGAAAAATAAAGTATATATAAACTGCATATGCCCCGTGGACATAGACGGATTAGGAGAAGAGTCTTTTACCTGAGGCCTGGTCATGGACCGGGCCTCAGGGGCGTTGTCCCCCGAAACTCCCTCAAGGTAGAAGTATTTTTTCAGGTTTTGTTCCGAGGAGGAAGTTGTTTGGACAGCGTCACTCATCCTGCGAGTAAATATCCCACCATAAAAAGCAGCACATTACAACTCATACTATTGATGACATCAACCTTATCCTTGGCTGTTTCAATATACAGGGAGATATTATTACTTTTGGAGTTGAAAGTCTAATCTGTACATTAACAAATTACCATTATCTAATTGCGGCAAATCCTGCATATTATTTTGTGAAATACTGCCAGCTTTTGTTACAATATGTTTACACTTTTCATACGCATGTAAGTCAAGAAAACATGAGTGTTTCTCACTGTATACGAGGTCTTCGTGATACAGTGAGAGGCCCAGTATGAAACAGTGAGAGACACAATACGTCAGACACAGCTGGCATGAGAGACAATGACAGTATGCTACACAGTGTGAGCTTTTACATTGTGCATATGAGATTCGATGAGGAAATAATGTGGAGCAGTGTTTGAAATAGTGTGAGACACAGTGATACTGTAAATTTGATGCAGTGTAATTATGAGACACAATGTAAAACAGTGGAAGAGGCAGTGTATGAGACAACCTGATAAACATTGAGACAATATAAATGGTTATATAATTGTCATCATCCTGACCCAGTTCTGTCACCAACAGTATCTTCGACTACAACTCCCTCTTGACGAGGCGCGAATAATAAGGTTCACTCTTTGGTTCCCCCAAAGTGTATCATGTGTTACCAGGTGATCTCTTACAGACGGGGATCTAAGTGAGGTGTTCTTCCCAAGGTGTAAGAGAAGTACTGAGTTTGTCTCCTGCCGATGTGTGTATAATAGAGAGTGTATGCGGGTGTATGACTAATCAGTGTAATGCAATCAAGTCGTTAGTGAAATCCAGACCACGAAACCTGTCTTCCCATTTCTAGAGAACTGAATCGCTGCCTTTAGTTCCACACCGGGCAATGTAGGCCGGGTGTAGGTGTATGCATATCTCTGATGATCTGATGTGGTGTGATGGGAGATCCTTCACGTGCGGCCAGCACCAGTAACGTACATATAAATGCACATTCAATAGTACTGTCGAGAGGCACTTACCGTTGTGAGGTGTGGGGTCTGCAGACAATCCTAATTACGAACACCGTCAGATACCTGCATGAGTCACTGGTTCTGCTGGTTTGTGTAAAAGAGAAGTTGTAATAAAGTTGGTAGAATTACCGACAATATGTAAAGTAAAAGGACACAAGTGCAACTGGAGAGCGAAACGTTGCCACAATAAATGTCACATTAGTTGCACTTGTGTCCTTTTACTTTACAAAAAGAGAAGTTGCTACTTCGGTATGCAAGGTGACCGTGAAGAGTGGTCTAATTCACGTGCAGTGTATTAATGAATGTTTTTCACTGCACTAGCCCTATTTAACTAAGCTGTTAACAGATCGGTATGGTTAGATATGATTCGGTCTCCTGCCTCTCTCCACACAAGTGACCTTTCTGTGATTGGCGTGGGTAGGCAGTGAGCACTCGTGGGTGGCTGGTCAAGTGTCCACTGTTGTCAGTTTGTTTAGGCTGAATAAAGTAATCATATTACTCTATGTTTAACTCTAGCTTAGCCTAAATACTTGGTATTTAGGCTAAGCATCATAGAAAAGATTCAGGGTAGAATGACATTAGAAATCTTCCGTACGAAGAAAGACTGAAGACTCTTAAACTACGTTCACTTGTAAGATGAAGAATGAGGGGAAGACATGATCGAAGTGTATAAGCCTATAGAGGCTTTATCACTAAATTTACGAGTGGATAAAGACATATGGCAACATCGGCTATAGGCGTACGTGGGTTTGAATATGAAAATGGTATACAATACAGTGGTATACAATACAGTGGTGTACAATACAATACGTGGGTTTACTGCCCATCCCGACTCTCATGCTACTTCAACCCTCCCCCCCCACCCCTCTAATCCCCTAACGGATACGGGAATCAGCTAACTTCCCTGATTTCCCACAAGAGGAGTAGCAAGTTGGTCTCCTACAGACGGAGAACTGAGTGAGGTGTTCTTCCCAAGGTGTAGTAGCACTAATAGCAAGTTGATTTCCTACAGACGGGGAGTTGAGCGAGGAGGAGGTGTTCCTGGTGCAGAGTCCATGTGAGCCGGACGTCCCTGAGCAAGTGGCCCTCGTGCTGGCTCTCGTCGATGGCATCGGCTCTCTCTCTAGGATCATCAAGACCATTGAGGTGAGACACAGGAAAAATATGTGTTCTTCTGAAAATAATTTATGTTGTTGAATATGGTTTAGAGGAATAAAAATGTAAACACAGAGGAGAACAACTAGTAAGTTCAGTATGCAGATCTCAACCAACATTTCACAGAAATAAACGGAAGTAAATTTCGTTTTATGAAATAATCAGAATTCAGACTGTTTAGAATATAAGGACAAAAGAATGATGAAACACTGCAGAAGGCCTACTGACTCATACAAGGCAAGTCTTTCTCAAAACCAGCCATTCCCACCCACGTATTTGTCTAGCCTTTTTCCAAAACTACCCAAGAATTTGTTTCAGTACCTCAGGTATAAATCAAACCCAACCCTTTTCACTCGTATATTTATCCAATCTCTTTTTAAAGCAACACAAGATTTTAGCTTCTATTACCCTACTTAGTAGGTTCCTCCAAGCATCGACAACTCTGAAAACCAGCATTACCTACGTTCTTTCTAAATCTAAATATATCTAATTTAACTCCATTATTTCTGGTTCTTACTTGATTCAATATCCTCAGTGCTTTGTTTATATTCTATCTGTTTTTGCCCATCTTCCACTTATATACATCAGTGATGTCTCGTCTCCTATGTCTCTCAAGAGAGTGAAGGTTCAAGGTTTTTAGTCTCTCCTCATATGTCATTTTCAGGGACAGATACGTAATTGGATCCATCACGGAATTTTTCCCATATATTCTTACTCGGAAAATTTCTCGATTTACATTATTTAGGTTAAGTTATACTGTCGTTTATCAATAAAATTTAACCAATTACAGCATACCACAATGTCAACAAATGAAATAAATTAAAATTAAATAAAGATAAATGAAATAATGATAAATGCAATAAAATGTTTTCAAGCATGAATAAAAAGCCTGAACTAAATGATTTATTATTATTATTATTATTAAAGATTCGCCGGTATTCTCCCGGCCCGGGCCTTTTCCAAGTGGTGGCCCGGCCTTGGCTCCCTCTTTAGGGAGTGTCTGAGACCTAAGTCTCCCATGGGAGGAGGCACAAGTACCTCCTCATCTTTGGGACCAACTGTCCCCAGGCCTAGCCACAAGCTAGGCCTCTCTGGTCTGCCATCCCCGCCACAAGGGAGCAAATGGGAATGACAGTCTTATGAGCTAAAGGCTCGGGCTCAGGCACCTACCCTACCCTAGAAGGGTTAGGCATGGTATCGATGAACTAAATGAGTGTGTAAGAAAATACACAGTCAGATATTCACTGTTTAAAGGTGGTGTACAGGTACCCATGTAACTGTCTTACCAACAGTGGAATACTGACTGTTATTAAAAGAACGAACTGGCATTTTATATATCAAAATTATATAATTTAGAGAAAATATGTAATAAAAGAAAAAAGGTAATCACTGCATGGGAACTTATAACACCAATGAAAGCAACACACCGGAGTTACCCCAAGGACGTTGACCGCCTTGAGGGAGCCGTGTATCAAAAAATTGTAGCTCTTTTGTTTACTGTCCGATTTCCTCCAGTTTTGGTGCACAAGACAAAGTGTTTTCACTCTTTCTTGAAAATATTTATCAAAAATATACCTCAAACAACAACTGAGAAGAGACTGAAAAAGGACTGATTTACTGAAAATGCCCTTGTGTCCAAATTTATTCCTATATGGGACGACGTAAGGTTGTTTGGACACTTGGTGCCGAGAGAACAATGCTTATACGAATTCCTCGTGGATTAGTTTCCTCTAAATATCTTATCTTTATTTTACAAAAAAATAAAGTATGTTAGTTCTTGGAATGTTGCAAAATATCTGCCCTTTACTCCCACATAAATCCAAAAATAATTGGAATATTTCCCAAAATATTCCAGCAGTAAATAGAGAAATCATTATTTTACAATTTCTGTGAATATTATTCCATTTAATTAAGTAATAAAGGAAGAATATTGGCCATTAGGTGAATAAGTTACTTCCGAGATATTAGCCGGGAGCGCCGGCCGGCCCGCCGTCTCAAAAAAAAAAAAAATCGCGAAAATCGCGTTTGTTTGGGTGTATTTCTTAGTAAACTGATGTTCTAGTGCAGTTATCCGCTTCAAAACACCGTTTTCTCTTAATCAGAGACCAAAGAATACGACATAAGAGGATTCACTCATTTATATCGAAATATTCCCAATGGTCTCTCGCCATATTATGGCTTATATTATTCAGTCTAGAGTATATAACATGTTTGTATGTTATTTATAGTGTTTATTATATCATATTAGATCAATTTTGATAGATAAATAAGCCGTAGAGGTGATATATAAGCTGATATAAGCGTATTAATGAAGTGATTTCTCCTGGCACTCTCTGGAGCGGGAACACTGCCTAGTGTTCCCATATGGTGCCAGGTTGTCTCTTAAGTCTACGGATAAGCTCCTCATACTGTTTTATGATGCCAAATAGTTAGTTATTATATTAGAAAGAATAATGCAAGAGGTATATTAAAAAAGGTTGTTGGTCTCAACTGAAGAAGAAGAGCCGCTGAAAGGTTACTAGAAGGTTTGTTTTTTTGTAGAGTGGTAGATCAATGGGATAATTTATGAGAGGAGTTAGGAAGTGTTACAATTATGGACAATTTGTAAAAACTTTGCGGTCGATTAATTACTGAAGATGAGACACCACCTGCCCACCTCTGCTCCCGTAACTACAAACTGTTAATCACAGATAGTTAATGGCAAGTATTCCTTCGTCAGGTTAATCTCTTCTCGGGACAAAAACTTTGCCCTTCGAATAATAATTAACAGACTCTTCATTATGTTCACTTTCTCCTTCGTAAAGATAATTACCTACATGCTTCCATGAGGAGACACACGGGCACTCATAATTTCTTCCGTCCTGCAGAACTTCAAGGGCACAGTGATGCACGTGGAGACCCGGCCAGCACCTCGCAAGGGAGTGGCGTTCGATGTTCTCTTCAAGATCGACATCCTGAGGGAGCCGCTACTCAATCTTCTCAAAAGTCTTCGTCAGGGCTCCACCATCGCCTCCGTCAACCTTCTCTCTGAACGTTACTCCTCCATCAAGGGTGTGTGAACGCTTGTGAGAAATAGAAGACATTAAAATCAAACCTAACCTTTAAATACCCGTATTTTGAAGAACTGAAAGAGCCTAACTAAATTTTTAATATAATCCGACTCTGGGTATTTTCGTAATGGAGAGTTTTCAAACAGGTTCTACAGCAAGCTCTGTGTATGAGCATTCTCTCTCTATTTCATATACGTTTTAAAACGTTATTTATCACCTTCTGCTTTAGCAAAAGTTTGATGACTCGCGATTCAGAGCTTTTGTATGAAGATTCAAGCATACAATATTCATGTACTGAATATTGTATACTGTAGTGTATACTTAACAAACTCAGTTCTTCCCTGTACCATGCTCATGGGTTTGCACTTTCCATGAATAATAATAATAATAATAATAATAATAATAATAATAATAATAATAATAATAATAATAATATCATCATCATCATCATCATCATCATCATCATCATCATCATCATCATCATCATCATCATTATTATTATTATTATTATTAATCTCTGCTCCTTTTTATGAGATCTCTGAATATATCATCATTACGTCACTCAAAATATTTTGTCTCCAGTGACGCTTATGCAAAAAACACACCACTTTAACATTTATCTGAGAAGTTGATTTTTTTTCACACAGCTTCACCAGTATTTTATTTTTTTTACTCTCCATATACTCCGATCTTATTATATCACTTAAAAATCTTTCCATGTAGAAGATTTTGACAAGTTATTACACTTACCAGAGGAGACTGAAGCATCGACTATTATTTCCTCTGGAAATAATAGATAATGTTTCCTCTGGAAATAATAGATAATGTTTCCTCTGGAAATAATAGACAATGTTTCCTCTGGAAATAATAGATAATGTTTCCTCTGGAAATAATAGATAATGTTTCCTCTGGAAATAATAGATAATGTTTCCTCTGGAAATAATAGATAATGTTTCCTCTGGAAATAATAGATAATGTTTCCTCTGGAAATAATAGATAATGTTTCCTCTGGAAATAATAGACAATGTTTCCTCTGGAAATAATAGATAATGTTTCCTCTGGAAATAATAGATAATGTTTCCTCTGGAAATAATAGATAATGTTTCCTCTGGAAATAATAGATAATGTTTCCCTCTGGAAATAATAGATAATGTTTCCTCTGGAAATAATAGATAATGTTTCCTCTGGAAATAATAGATAATGTTTCCTCTGGAAATAATAGATAATGTTTCCTCTGGAAATAATAGATAATGTTTCCTCTGGAAATAATAGATAATGTTTCCTCTGGAAATAATAGACAATGTTTCCTCTGGAAATAATAGATAATGTTTCCTCTGGAAATAATAGATAATGTTTCCTCTGGAAATAATAGATAATGTTTCCTCTGGAAATAATAGACAATGTTTCCTCTGGAAATAATAGATAATGTTTCCTCTGGAAATAATAGATAATGTTTCCTCTGGAAATAATAGATAATGTTTCCTCTGGAAATAATAGATAATGTTTCCTCTGGAAATAATAGATAATGTTTCCTTGGAAATAATAGACAATGTTTCCTCTGGAAATAATAGATAATGTTTCCTCTGGAAATAATAGATAATGTTTCCTCTGGAAATAATAGACAATGTTTCCTCTGGAAATAATAGATAATGTTTCCTCTGGAAATAATAGATAATGTTTCCTCTGGAAATAATAGATAATGTTTCCTCTGGAAATAATAGATAATGTTTCCTCTGGAAATAATAGATAATGTTTCCTCTGGAAATAATAGATAATGTTTCCTCTGGAAATAATAGACAATGTTTCCTCTGGAAATAATAGATAATGTTTCCTCTGGAAATAATAGATAATGTTTCCTCTGGAAATAATAG